AAACTAATATAATCTACTACATCATAATAAAATATAATACAATATAATATAATATATTAAAATACAATATAATATAATATAATATAATATAATATAATATAATATAATATAATATAATATAACATAATAAAATATAATACAATATAATATAATATATTAAAATATAATATAATATAATATAATATAATATAATATAATATAATATAATATAACATAATATAATATAATATAATATAACATAATATAATATAATATAATATAATATAATATAATATAATATAATATAATATAATATAATATAATATACCCAGTGATGGGTTGCGGTTGGAAGGGCATCTGCTGTGTAAAACATGTGCTGGATGAGCTGGCGGTTCCACTTTGGCAACCCCTGATTAATAAAATTAATAAAGGGACTAAGCCGAAAAGAAAATGAATGTATATATTATATATAATGCATTATTTTTATTATTATATAGATTATTATATAGTTGGTTAGTTTAATAAAACTATTCAATGTGCGTGTTGAACATAATAGACGTTTGTTAGACGGTGCATTTGTTGAAACCTCTTCTTGGTCGATCACAAATCTTTTCGAATGCATTAAAGGGCTCATCTTAATCTTACCCTGGTGTTTGTTCACCCTCCGCATATGTTTTCCATCCAATCGCCTCAAAGCAAGAAGGTCGCTGGTTTGAGCCCGGGCTGGGTCAGTTGGCATTTCTGTGTGAAGTTTGCATGTTCTCCGATTGTTGCTGGATCGAAGTTAATGAGAATTTTGCTATTATTTATTCGATTTCCTATGTATTGTATTTTATTGACGTCTTCCACCACCCCAACCCTTAGCCCAACCGTCACAGTAATGTAAAAACAGTATTTGTACTGAGTATTTTCTTATGTTATTTACTAAATTACCCAATAAACTGTATTTTTTAATGCCTACCCCCAACCCTAAACCCAACCATCACAGTGCTTTAAAATATTAATTATTATTATACAGTGCCATAAAAACATGCTGCTCTATTAATGTGCATATCCAACACAATCTCACGGCAATTCGTAACTTTTTGATTTAGTGGCAAATTCGTATAAATACGTACAATCTAATTCGCACAATTTAGTACGATTTGCCCATCCCCCAATGACAGTTGGGGTTAGGGGTGGGGTTAGGTGCCACGCCTCCTTTTTAAAATCGTACAATTTCGTACAACTGAACTCGTACGAATTAGCCACTAAACTGGCAAAACGTAAAATACTTACGTTTTCTCGTGAGATCAGGCTGGCATATCGCACTTCTGGCCGGCCGCATATCCGATCTGGTTTCCGGGTGCTCCGGTTACACATGCACTATGGGTAAATTGGGTAAGCTAAATTGTCCGTAGTGTAAAACATATGCTGGGTAAGTTGGAGGTTCATTCCGCAGTGGCAACCCCAGATTAATAAAGTGGCTAAGCCGCAAGGAAAATGAATGAAGTCTTATATTGTCACATTTGTTCATTTTAAGGGTCTCGTATTGTTTACTTTGAATATTGGGTCTGAATTAGCATGCCAGTATGGCTTCACAATAACATTAGCACTATTTAATTGACGACGAACAATGTTGTACTTTGATAGTTATAAACTGATGATAATTTGTCTGTTTCTTATTTGCAAACAATACTTTTCTGAAATTATATTATTAAGGAGAGTGTCTGAAAGTGCGAATATAACCAAAATCACCTCAATAAATTATTTAATAAACAAACAAGCCATTTCTAAGTGATTCGGTGTAGGCATGATAGCACAGAACCCATTGTGTATTGGTGTGCTACAGATGTTAAATGGTCCTAATTGATAATCCTGGTTCTCAGTTTGTGGTCATGTGCAGCAAATGGAAACCACTGAATACAGAACGAGCTATTTTTAGCTCTGTCTCTCCCCCTCAGGTTTCCATCTAATCAATACTGCATGCGATATTTTCTAACAGATACAGTTTAGGACGGTGTTTTTGAGAGTTAGCACTCTAAATTTAGCCCATCAAATCATCGTGATTGGGTTTTAATACGAAAGCGGATGTTGTCATGGAAATGTGGGCTAATGTTTGAGGCTGCCCATTAACATTTGACAGCATTAGTCAAGCCACAAGCTGGGAATTAGCTGTCCGCGGGGGGAAGGGCAGACAGGGGGATGCTAAAAAGGAAATTCACACACATTTCCTGCAAGTGGGATCGTTACAAATCGACAACATCCTGTTCTTTTGTTGGTCCTGCATGACCTCATGCTGCTGCGTCATAAACGCGTTTGTGTGTGTGTGTGTGTGCGTGTGTGTGCTCCTCCGGTGGGTGAGCTCGATCAAAATGGAAATGGGTAATCAAACGCATCCCTTAAATGGAGATTGTATTTAAAACCTGTTTTCTGAGAACTGGAAATAAGGATAAAGTGCACGCCGGTCGAGGTTTACATATTAACCCGCGATGATGAAACTCGGAAGTGTTTTTTTTCTTCTTCTTTTTTTTTTTTTTTGGTAATAAAACGTTTTCTCCCTTCACTTCCAGGCATTTTAACATTCCTAGTGCGTCATGTCGAGTAATAACAGATGAGCAGCTGTGCTCGGTAAACACGCTGTTGCTTAACATTTTCTTTTCGGGATGAGGAAATAAATGATTCCCCTGCCAAAGCAGGGCAGGCAGGCTTTTAAGACGACACACATGAAACAGGCAATGTATTGAAAAGACGAATTAAAGCAGTTGTAGCCGCCTTCTTCATGTAATCCGCTTTGACATTGCCCTTGTGACGAAAAGCCCCCATTCTTCCATTCATGAAATCTCGAAATGGCGCATGCGCAGCGCGATCCGGATTTCTCCCATTCATAAAAGTGTAACCCCCGAGTCGTAATGCCCTCCCATTCACAAAAAAGAAAAAAAAAATCTGTCAAAGCATCTGCGCAGTACGTTTCTTACCCTCCCATTCATAAAAAGCCATTTCCCTCATGTAGTTGCAACATCGTATGTAGAAGACTGTGTCCTTACTGCAGTGCACATCGCACGGATAGACGTCCGCTTTTACTCCGCGGCTTCGTTTGGATCTATCTGTCTCTCTTTTTGCCACTGGAATATATCGCAACGACCTGTTCATCTGAGAAGGAAATGATCTGCTTTCGAATGCAAGTGAGTTTAAATCTATTTCATCTATATATATATATATATATATATATATATATATATATATATATATATATATATATATATATATATATATATATATACCATTGTGTCGAATCCAGTAGTTTCTGGTTTATCACAAAGCGCCGATACAGCCGTTCTTCAGCAACGCTTTGTAGTGCATTTGTGCCTCGAGTAAATATTTAACCACGAACACTAACCACGACATGATCGTGGATGACCCAACACTAAAATGCACACGTCTAGCATACGAGTATTCGAGGTTAAACGCACACACGTCGCTTCATTTGCTCGGGAACGCACAGCATTTCGTGTGGCGTATCACAAATCTGTGCGCGCGCGTCGCGTTTGTTCGCGTTCTGTTGAATGTAAGCGCGTGACGCTTCACTGCAGCTCGCGCATATAAACCTTTAAACGTGTCTTATAGTGAGCATGGACGGATATTAGTTCGCGTGTCGTCGCTGTGGAGAGGTTCTAGGTGTTTTGTAATCCAAGTAGCCTAAATGTATCCGCCTCATTTCTGTTTTGCTTTGTGTGGAACTGTAATTGAGGCAGCGTATTAATCGCCGTTTTAGACCACACCGCAGCACTCCAGAGGCGTCCGAGCTGCTTATAAGACAACGCAAGCTATGACATTTAAATATAGCACGGGAAAATCACGCAACAGGTTGAGTTTCTCCTAAATGCAGCTGTTATCAAACATACGCATTTTACATGACGTCCAACAAAAATGTTACACTGGATTAAACGCTTGAATAACGTCCAGAGAGTCGCAATTCGACTAGTCCGGCTTGTAGTCGATCGTTTAACATCAATTTGTAAATCTTAATTTCTGGTTTATGCCATGCTTGGTTTACTCTCAATAAAATACACAACACAATTACAGGCATGTAAACTAATACTAATGAATTTAAGCTGAATGAAGGTTTACATGATCTCTCTCTCTCTCTCTCTCTCTCTCTCTCTCTCTCCCCCTCTCTCCTTTTAATGTTTGTAATATTTAAAGGGATAGTTCACCCATCAAAAAATCACAATTTACTCAACCATCACCTCTCACAAACATGTGTAAGCTTCTTTATTTCTCAGTTGAACACACATTTCGAGAAATGTCTAAACTAGTTGTTTTTCTTGCTATTAAATATTAGTGACTACTAGCTTCTAACAAGTTTCAAAATATCTCCTGAAAAATAATCTAACTGAAAAAAAAAAACCCCCAGAAGTATGGGATCACTTGAGGGAGACTAATTGTGAGCAAATTGTTATTTCTGCATGAACCATCACTTTAATTACAAATCATCCTAATCAGGGCTTTACATTAACTTTTTTTTAATCACCGGCCACTGTGGCTAGTAATTTTCCAATGTTACTAGCCACTCTGCATTTTCACTAGCCACAATTTTGTTGTTGGGAAAATATATTTTATATGCATAGATTTGACGTTGACATCCTTAAAATTACTTTAAATGTTGTGTTATGTCCACACGCGTCCTCATTCATGAGCATGAGCAAAGGAGTCGTGGTTTCATAGTGTTATATTGCAATTAGTTTTTATTTGCAAATCAAAGGCGGCAACACCAAGCTCCAAAAATACAAATTTATTAACATGCTCTGTGTCAGCCTTTTTAATTTAATAAATTTGTATTTTTGGAGCCTTGGTGTTGCCGCCTTTGATTTACATTTAATTTGCACTTTTTGCGGTTTTGGCTGAGCACCCAATTAAGAGAGATGTGCGTGCTTTTGTACAGTTTTTTCAATTAGTTTTTATTTCTAATGACTTTTTTTAGAGCTCAAAATTAACGATGTACCTGAATTTATCTCTATAACCACACTCAACAATAATTATTTCATAGCCACAAATTTTTTATGTGTCAAAAGATAGCTGTATACTTTTTATTTAACGAAACATTTCTTAAAAAAGAAAGAAAAGTAATTGACTTTTAAAAAAACAACTATTGTCATGTATCAAAATAAGCACGGTAATCTGTCGTGGCTAAAGATCTCTCGGATCAGCAGTTAACTGCACATAAATGGAGAGTTCATCACCCATTAAAACAATATAGTAAACAAAAAAAAAGATAATTAAACCATTTTAACAAAAATGAAAGCAAATAAAACCGTAAGCAAATGACAGCCGGTGAAACATACCGTGTGTGATAATGAAAGGATCACATGCACACGGTTAACGTTAGGCCAATTAATAATCTGTTCAAAGGGAAAGCAACCGGTGTTGCTTACAAAAAGACAAATGTTGAGCTCTTAAAAGAATCAGGACTGCTTTTAGGAAAACTACAATTTTAAAAGTATTTACAACCAGCAAAAGTGGCTAGTGGGATTGTCTGTCTAAAGCTGAAGTCTACCCGTATTTGGCGGGTTGGCGGGTGTTAATGTAAAGCCCTGATCCTAATTATTTCATACTGTACACCACTTTGATTTAGATGAGCTTGCATTCCTAGCATCCTAACAATAAAGCCAGATTTACAGTAAGACGTCTTCTTTATTTAATCGCACACACATGATACTGTAATCTAAAATGACAGAACGCACTTCATTACAGTTAAGGAGAAAACAACATGTGTTAGTTTCTATTTTTAAAGCTTCGCTTGGTATATATCTAGTTTGTGTTGGCTCCATACCTATAATGCCATATCAGCAGATGCACTTTTACTCAAGATGCCATTTTAGGTCAATGCCAGTTAGGTCAATCTGCATTCTCCAAGTACGCTTCATATGTATGGAATGAGCTTTAAAATACACCACATGCGAAATCTGTACTATCTATCGCTTGTTTAACAATATTTTAAAGTCTGCCTATTTAGAACAGTGCACGTTTTAATAATTGATTAAGGTTTATATTATATCCGTTTGTGTTGGGATGTGCATTTTTCTGTAACTCTTTGCTGCCTGTCTTGACCATGACTGCCTAGTAGAAGAGATGTATTGTATCTCAATGGCACTTTCCTTGTTGTATAAGTAAATAAATAAATAAAGGCGAGATTTACAGTAACACGTCATGCTTTTTAATCGTTGCAGGAGTGCTAAATGCTGAGCTCTGGTATATGAGGAACACGACCTACAGATGGAGTCAAGGGTTCCTCACCACATTCCCGGCGTCTCCTCCTCCATCATGGTGCAGCCGTTACTGGACAGCCGCGTTCCCTACGGACGCCTCCAGCACCCGCTGACCATCTACCCTATAGACCAAATGAAAGCTTTGCATTTGGAGAACGACTACATCGACACCCCTGCTGTGATTTCACAACAGCCACCGAGCCACAAGGCAAACCCCAGGGGCCAGGAGGTCCTGCTGGGAGCCCCACACCATCCGAATTTATCCCGCTGTGAGGTGCCAGATGCCACCACGCACCCCTGGATCTCCTTCAGCGGTCGGCCTAGCTCCATCAGCAGCAGCAGTAGCACGTCTTCAGATCAGCGGCTGCTGGATCACGCAGCTCCTACTCCTGTTGTGGATCCGTATACGACCGGGAATTCCCACGGCAGGACTCTAGCTGCGGAGCAGCCCAAGATACTGAGCTCCAAGAACATTAAGACACTGGCAGCCTTGCCTGAAGAGAAGAAAAAGCATGTGCTGCTGTGCGAGAAATGCGGGAAATGCCGATGCACCGAATGCACGCTGCCCCGAACCTTGCCTTCTTGTTGGGTTTGCAACCAAGAGTGTCTGTGCTCCGCACAAAACCTAGTGGACTCGGTGACTTGCATGTGTCTAGTCAAGGGGGTTTTCTACCACTGCACTGATGAGGACGAGGAAGGCTCCTGCGCGGACAAACCATGCTCCTGTTCGCACTCGAACTGTTGCGCACGCTGGTCCTTCATGGCAGCCGTCTCATTGGTTTTGCCCTGCCTGGTGTGCTATTTACCTGCCACTGGCTGTGCCAAGCTTTCGCAGAAATGCTACGACGGCGTCAGCCGCCCAGGATGCCGATGCAAAAGCACCCAGTCCTGCAAGGTGGCAGAAATCAAGGCCTGTCAGCCAGAAAAACAAGCCTCATGATGGTTTGCAGGACCTTCCTCCCAAAATCATGGTACTTAAGGTGTTGAAATCAGTAGCAATGTTTGACTGAAGGGCACAAATGATCATTTCACGTACTGCAAAGAAGTTCTTCTCCTCACGATGGTTCTACGTATTAGCCTCTACTAAAGGACCTTGCAAACACAGAATGCTGCATTTCCAAAAGATCTCTGTTTGTTTTCTCTTTGAGAAACCACCCATTCAGAAGCGTTCTCCACTTTGGCAATCCCTCTCCGGATCCGGAAGACAGAAAGTGCAGCGAATTCCAAGCTGATAACACATGTCACAATCAAAATAACCAGACTTCATCTCTGTGCACAGTGCATTTACGAGCTTGTTCTAGAGCTTTTATTTCTTGTGTTGTTTGAAATGCAAACATGGGAGGTGATTGCGTGCCACTGAAGGATTCCGAGTCCCCATTGCGAAAGACGCCAGGTATCCTCGTGGCAGGATGTTTTCAATCTTCAGTGGGGGACCGAATGTTGGTTTGTTTATTTGATGGCTAATAGGTGAAAAAGCTTTCGTGAGTCCCTTTGATGACATGCCATAGCATACTTCCATAAAGATTCTTCCAAATGTTTAGCGGTTCAGTTCGTTGTATGACCTCAGGGATCATCAGTTTATCTGAAATTACATGTGAATTCAGCTTGGAAGGAGTTTGGTGACTATATAGCAAGGACATTCATAAGCTACGAGAGGAGCTGCGCCAGCAGTGAGACAAGCTATAAAGCTAGCTTAATAAACACGCCAATCACCATGATGACGAGGCAAAAGCACAGTATTATGTACAGTAGATGTACAAAGTGTTTCACTGTAGATGGAAGACAAACAAAAAACTCTCTAGTTTACTACCGCTACCAAACATAACACGCGCCCTAGTATCAAACTGCTCTATTTTTGTCGTCATGTGTATAGAGATATTGCCAAAGGAGTGCACCGTGGGGTTTTTGGTTAACTCGAGTGGGCGTGCGTTGTTGTACTCTAGCCAATTAGTAAGCTCTTAAAGGTACGGTGCACACTTCACCAAGATCCCTAGAGGGCACGAAGGGAACGAATAACGCCTGCCTTTTTTTTAACCCGCGAAACTAGGACCTCGCTGGTCTGTATTTTCTCATATTCCAACATTTGCACAAATCCGAAAAGCAGAAATACACTACTGTTCTTAGTCTTGAATGTATAAGGCTAGGGTATACGTTTGCAATCGAACCCGCCGTGGATAGCGTACGCATATAGCCGCATTGGGAAGAGTTGCAAATGTACCATAGATTATTTGTTTCGTTGTTGACCTATGCAGGTTACTTGTAAATAGTCATCCAGAAAAAAAAAAAACTAGCTATCTTGAAAAAGTGTCCTGAGAAAATTGCATGGTACCGTTTAATTACGATTCAGTACAAAAGTATATAAATGAATTATTATAAATATATATATATATATTTTGTTTTCGAGGGGGGGGTTGGGGTTATGTGGCTGTGGCGTAGAAAGGCGTTTAGGTATTTCAATTACAAGCACTTGATTTAGAAAAGTGTGCCAGGCAATAAAAATACCTCTGTTAATGCTAGCCATGCCTCATTAGCACGAGAGAGGCAAGGCTAATCCCGGTTCCTCCGTGCCCCTGAAACTGTAGATCGAATCGAATTCGCTCAAGGAACGGCATTTGGTTTTTTTGCTTTCCCCCTCCTTCCTCCTAAAATGGTGCAACATCTTCAGGGCTTGATTGACGTATACAGCTGCTGTGCATGAACGTGTCTGGGAGGAACAGGGATCCCTCTCAAATAACATTCCAGTCCATCCTATTTGGTGTTTTCTTTAGCTTTCTCTCTTATTTTTCATCTTTCACACTTCTCTTTTGACTATGAAGAACGATACGGCTATAAAAATGGCTGCGCAGAACTTCCTTTTTAATCCACCATCATCTATGGGAGGTCTATTTGTGGTACAGTTTCTTGGTCAGCGGAAACCCATATTGTTTTAGACTTTTTAAGCTGCCTTCCAAACTGGGCTTGTACTCTCTGCGTTTCCTTTTTTTTGGCTTCATTGTTAATGCGAAGATTAAAGATAAGAGCAATGTGCTTTTGTTTTGTTTTAAAAAAAAATAAGCAAAAAGGAAAAAAAAAAGTACAAATCTCTCACACATATGAAAATGTCCCTTTATAGATATATTTATTTTGAAGTTCTATTTTATATAGTATTTATTTAGATGCCTACTTTTGTTTGTGAATAAAAAAAGCTTATGTCGAAACGGAATGTACATTGAAAATCTGAAAATATATATATTGTTAAATATACAACTCTGTGTGTTGTGTCTTCAGTGTCTCTGGAAATCATTAACAGCAAGTCTTAAAGGAATTTAGTTCACCCCAAAGTAAAAATGAGTTCAGTGTTTACTCAACAGCAAGACCTTTATGAGCTTGTTTTTTATTTCTGTTGAACACGAATGAAAATGGGGCGACACAATGGCTCACTGCAAGATGGCCGCTGGTTTGATTCCAGGCTGTGTGGAGTTTGCATGTTCTCCCCGTGTCGGCGTGGGTTTCCTCCGGGTGCTCCGGTTTCCCCCACAGTCCAAACCAGGGGTGACCAAACTTTTTTTTTTATGAAGAGTCAAAAACCAAACTTGATTTAGAGAGTGGGCCTTAGGTAAATATGCCAAACGATTACATTAAAGCTGCCATTGTAATTTCCTAACTTGAAAAATAAATAGAAAAAATACTTATAATTTTATTTCATTTTATAATGAACTTCTTACAATAAAAACAAAAACAAACGCATTTATAACTTAATGTTGGTCAATGCTAAATACCCAAGAGAAGCAGATCCTGCGTTGGCCTTGATTTGCTCGTCGATGTTTGATGTATTGTCCGCTACAAAATCGGATTCATTTAAAACATTTAATTGAAATGTTTTTATTTCAGTTGGCTTTTTTCGTAGATCAACGATTAAACAAACAAACAAAAGGTTATGTTAAATTAGAAATGATGATCTCTGTTGAAGGCTGCAAACTTCATTCTGAATGTCTTCTCAGAGGGGCTCAACTTTGGGCATCCCTGGTCCAAACACATGTGCTATAGGTGAATTGAATAAACTAAATTGGCCATATAGTGTATGTGTGTGTGTGTGAGAGAGATTTAGTGTATATGGGTGTTTCCCGGTACTGGGTTGCAGCTGGAAGGCTATCCGATGCATAAAACATATCCTGGATAAGCTGGTGGTTCATTCCACTGTGGTGACCCCTGATGAATACAGGGTCTAAGCCGAAGGAAAAATGAAAGAATGACGATGAAGCATTCTGCTAACTGGAATTGTAAAAAAAAAAAAATAATAATACTTAGTTACTGATTACCAATATTCTTCAAAATATCTTTTTCATGTGTTCAACAGAAGAAAGAAACTGGGTAACACTTTATAACACACTATGAATCATTTATTAAGCATTAGCAAATAGTCAATTCATTATTTGTTAAGCATTAATTAATTAATAGACGTTAGTAAGCAGTTATAAATACAGCTACACATGCTGTATTCTTGACTAATGAGTAGGACCAGACAGAATCTGTGAACATTTTTTGCTAATTCTGCACACAATTTTGTAAAAAATCTGCAGATTTTTTGCGGAATGATTTTGGGAGTATCATAACTAAAAACATATAAAAATAAAAATATACAATATATAAAAATATATAAAATAAACAAATAATATGTTTGTAACTATTTAATATCTACAATGCAAATCCAATTTGATCCACTTATTTGGTTAACAAAGCAAGTCTCTCATATAATATCTCGGTCACACTTTACAATAAGGTTCATTAGTTAATGTTATTTAATGCATTTACTAACATGAACAAACAATGAACAATACATCTACTACTGTATTCATTCATGTTAGTTAATGTTAGTTAATGAAAATACAGTAGTTCATTGTTAGTTCATGTTAACTCACGGTGCATTAACTAATGTTAACAAGCATGGAGTTGAATGTTAATAATGCATTAGTAAATGTTCAATTATGATTAATAAATTAATAAATTCAGATGAGCCATTTTAATCTAGATTAATTCCAAGATTACAGTGAGATTATTCTAGATTAATTCCAAGATTACAGTGAGATTAATCTAGATTAATTTCAATATTACAGAGATATTAACCTATATTAATTCTAAGATTACAGTGAGATTATTCTAGATTAATTCCGAGATTACAGTGAGATTAATCTAGATTAATTCCAAGATTACAGTGAGATTATTCTAGATTAATTTCAAGATTACAGTAAAATTAATCTAGATTAATTCCAAGATTACAGTAAAATTAATCTAGATTAATTCCAAGATTACAGTAAAATTAATCTAGATTAATTCCAAGATTACAGTGAGATTACCCTAGAATAATTTAAAAATTACAGTGAGATTATTCTAGATCAATTCCAAGATTACAGAGAGATTACCCTAGATTAATTCTAAGATTACAGTCTGATTAACCAAGATTAATTCCAACATTACAGTGAGATTAATCTAGATTAGATCTTATTTCTCCATATATCATTTATCATACATTATATCATTATCTTAAATGACTAAAATGTCAGTAAAAGTCACTTTGTTTAACTCTAGAGTTGAATTTTTAACATCAAATGTCGACAGAGCAGAGATCAACATCCCAATTCACAACAGTAAATAAACTGACTACACACAAAATACAGAAAATGATGTGTTTTACAGTGTAGGAGAGCTGTAAAATGAGCCTATTTCCAAAAAATGAATGTTCTATTAAAAGAAACTTAATTTTTCCAAATTTGATCGTAATGCAGTAATGTACACCTTTTGTAAAGCCGATTTGAAACAATAATTATTGTGGAAACTCTATTGACCTTATTCTAAAATGCGGAAGTGCGCCTGTTTTCGCGATTGTCTTAGAACTTCTGTTTCAGTCGCCTATCAGAGAAATGACAAGAAATAATAAACGGCAAAAAACGGTCAAACTACTTGCTCTACAAACAAATGTTTGCATGACTATACAGACCAAGTAGAATAATATAACAAGGAAATATCAACATCAAACAGCGAAACGAGCAGTTTTTAATGTCCAAAAATGAATGGAAGTGAATGAGACCGGAAGTCTCGTGCCAAAAAGGTTCAAATGGCAGCGCCCGCTCGTCTGCGGAGAATAAGGTCAATACAAGTAAACTTGAATTGAGTGTAATTGAAACATAATTGGGCTGGACTGATTTAAATAAAGACCTGAACGTTCTCCTGTAGCGTCTCAACCTGGCATCCGCTCTCTCTAAATCACGTGGCCAGTCGTTTGGCACAATGTCTTGGGCTTGCATGCGCATTTCCGAAGTGAACTCATCCATGCTGTCTTGATTCAAGAAAATGTCCGTCTGCAGATGACAAACTGCAAAACTCCTGAGCACATCTGCTGCTGTACTCATGCCCTCCCCGCGGCTTCTACTTCTCGAATATGAACGCAGAGACAGAGAGAGAGAAAGAGAAACACAGTGATTTGCAGGACGGGAGGGAATTTAGAAGCTGAGCGGTTGGTGAAACTTCCTCTACTTCATGCATGTGAGAGCAGAAAAGCTGCGCTGAAAGTGGGAGAGTTTACTTTGGTCACACTTACATTATGATCACTAAATTTTCTACAGAACAAACCACTGTTATACAATGCCTAATTACCCTAACTTTACCCTAATTACCCTAGTTAAGCCTTTAAATGTCACTTTAAGCTCAATACTAGTATCTTGACAAAATGTCAAATATGTTCTGTCATCATGGCAAAGATAAAATAAATCCAACCCTGGCTCATTCTGGAAACGTAGCCCCGCGGACGTTTCTGGAGACTGTGAAATACGTCCTGGGAGGTACGTATTTGTGCAGTTTTTGTTTTCGCTAATCTGCGAGAGGCCGCTGTGCGCGCATTTTCACGTCTCGATTGCCTCTCACGAATGCGCACCGTTTGCAACCTCGTGTAGGGTTTTTACCGCATTTAGTGACCGGAATAACACACGCGGCTTTCTGACGCTACCTGCCGTGTGCATCTAAGTTTCCGGGAAATGCTGAGTTTTTTTTCTCTCATTCGCCGTGCGGTATCAAACATTGCATGAAAAATACACGCTTAGAGCAGCTCCTCGAATCAAATATCTCGTTTGTCGCGAGGAACATGAATGAATTCCCTGAATGAAAGAGCCAAACTGCAGTTAAAGTCCAACATTTAATAATTTGGCAAATAATTCGACTACAGATGTCCATGTAGGTTAAACACCATCACTTTCTCCTGTCTGTGTATTTTGACTCTGAAACTCGCGCGTGCCTAAATAGACACTCCCACACCCTCCCACTTTAGTTCCTCCGACACTCCCCCTAAACAGAGCTGGACACGCCCACTTTTCTGACTTTTTCCAAAGTAGAGGTGTGAAAACACCCTGCTGAAACGAGGGGGTTTCATGGCCCTTTAACAAAGTGACTTTAATTGACATTTGAATAGTTGGGAATTATATAATGTATAATAAATAATAACTATATATTTTATAATATAAGTCTGTAAAATAACAGAACAAGGTTTTGAGCATAATATACAAAACCAACCCAGGCAATATAGCACTGCAAACTATTAAAAATGTTCATAAAAGTCACTTTGTACAACTTTTTGAGGTTAAACGTTATTGGAAGAACGATCAAGATCCCATAATGCAGTTCAAAAGCAGAAATAAATAGGGAAAAATAAAAACCTGAATCACAAAATATGAAAAACTGATAATTTACGGATATTTTTTACCATGTAGCACAGCGGTATACTCGTTTCAATAAAACGTACACCTTTTACAGCATGCGCAGACACATCTGCTAAACGCATGAATGTAAATGTAAAAAGTAGGAAACAAATAAAATGATCCGAAGCGAGGGAAAAGCCAGAAACGCAGAGATTGTGCAAATCTTTCAGCATGAATGCTCTCGCCATGCACACTCATTCTGCAAACTCTATGGCTCGAACCCAAGCGAGCGCCGTTTTAAACAAAGGGCTACTGTCTTGCATCACTTCCCGCTCCGGAAAGCACTTCTTATCAGCATTTATAGCCGGTCTGTATCAGAGGCCTGGTCTGTGCTAACACCCGACCCCAATGGATTTTCAGCGCTCCAAATGCAGACAGTTGTAAAGCCTATAGCTGGGCTGTCCAACGAAAAAAACGTTTTACTTGTCGCTCATAAATTTACTGAGTTCTAATGGAAAGATTCTTCCCTGTCAACATTGGTGATGAAATGCTCCATCTATCTAAGCTGGCCAATGCTTT